ATTCTAAACATGAAGAAAGCCATAGGATGATGTTATGGCTTCAAGACAGATTTTCAACCACTAACAGACCAAGAATGTCCTTTTTCTCAAGTCTACGTGCAAAGACCACTTTGCTCCTCACAAGATACATTAATTTTCTTATCAAAGCAAAAGCCATTAATTTTTTTCAGAAAACAACAATAAATTTCATCTACCTTTGAAAAACACTAACAAAAATACTTGAGTGAATTTAATTAGTTGAAGGCATAGGATTCAGTCTAACAGTGACAGAAAACCAAGTGCAATCTGGGCAGAAATGCTCAGAAAGCACGAAACAGAGCTCAACACTCTCTCAAGAGGCTCCATCTCCCAAACTGAAGCAGAAACACATGCTCACACTGTTACTCAGAGCCACATTTGTTCTCTCCTGCTTTGTGAATCAGGAACTAAGGAAATCTTTGCTATAACTCTCTCCAAGTTGGGAATTCTGCTATCCCTGTGAAAGCTTATTGCCCAGTTTTTAAATTCCTTGATAAAGGAAAGAAATCTAACCCCATTTTTTACACAGCTTATTTCCCCAACATTTTAGTGAACCTTGCTGACATTGACATTCTTTGCTATTCCTGTAAAAGAGCAGGATTCCAATTTCAGCTTTATTCTCCTTCTCCTGCTCTATAATGTGCCTCACACTTGCCACTTCTAAGGCCCTGAAACGCAAAGCTTGAGCAAAACTGCCATCACAAGTTTGCTTCTGTGAAGCAAAGTTTAAAGATGCATGGATTGTACACTGCAGAAAGGTACAATCTTTGAGGGCCACCAAGTCAACACTTCACTGCCTGTATGTCCTAATATTATGATAGCAAATGAAGAAAAAAACCCTGTTTTGTATTCTGGAGTTATTTCTCCGCCTCTAGTACACCAACAATTCCATTACTCTCGCCTGTACTTCTCTAAGAAATATCACCTAAAGCCTGGAGAACTTCCAGATCTTTGAAGCAGCTATAATTATCAAATTCTGCCGAGGCTCCTCATGGGGGTGGGTGGGGGAAGGGCAAGAAGCAATCAATGGCTTAAAAAGAGAAATTTCTGCATGATTCTTGGATAACCAGCCAATCAGAACAGTAGGATATTTATTTCTGATAATGTGCATTCTTGTGTGAAATTGCCAGAAAATTAGTATTTGACAAGGTGGTAGAGTCTGACAGACAACAAGAAGTTATTTCTCTCTACCTAGTTAAGTGAAAAAGTTACCAGCTAGACAAAAGCAGCTGTGGAGTAACAAAGAACACCTCCCTTACTGTTCACTTCCTTGTAGGATCAGTGCTCAGAGGGCGCAGGTCAAGGAGAGAGAACTGATATTGATTTGAGATACAGGTGTGTTGAAGAGGTTGTCCTTAATTCCCAGTGTTTCAAGACCACTTGCTTCGGTTTCTCTCACAACACGGTAGTTTAATTCTCTGGTTTGGTCAAACTATCACCCATCAGTGACTATTAATAACTTTCTACACCATCATGTTGAATTATCTAAAAGATGAACAAAATGAATTAACAAAAGAAAAAAAATCCAGCTTTCCACTGTCTTAAAGCACTAAGAAATGAACAGCATAAGAGAGAAAATTATGGCTGCATTAGGGGAAAACATGGTCAAGAGCTCAACAAGTAAGACTTGACCTTCTTCTAGCTAGGTTGGGACACAAATTTCATTAGCTGAAAAATTTAGATGGAAAGTAGTTTTAAATTAAATACCCACAGCAAAGGGCTTATGTCTCTCTACAAAAGTCCATATCTGCATTACATTTTAAGGTAGTGTTGAGGCTGTATAAAATCAGTTGTCTTCAGTTAATTTTTTCCATATTCAACTTCGTTTGCATCATGGTAACTTCTTTCCACAGACAGCTCTCTTTCTGCTGGAATCTACAGCAAAATCTATCATTGTAAAGGTAAACGGACACAAACAAACCCTTTTTGTTGAATAACTTCATATGATGCTACACAGAATTTCATCATCCTTGTTTCACAGAATCACCAAGTCATTAAAGTTGGAAAAGACATTCAAGACCATCAGGTCCAAAGATTTTGAAAAGCTCCTCCTTCTCAATCAGACCATGGCACTGAGTGCCAAACCCAGTCATTTCTTGAACACCTTCAGGGATGACGACCCCATCACTTTGCCAAGTTGTCCATTCCAGCATTTAACAACCCTTTCCATAAAGGAATTCCCCCTGAATCACCCCCTGAATTAAAGAGAAAAAAACAGCCATTCAGGATTTGATCAAACAGAACATTATACATGACCCAATACTAGTTTCTCAGAAATACACTCAACACGTGAGCTATACTCCAACCTGTAAAAATAAAGATAGCAGAGTATTTTAGATTATGTTCTAAAATGACAAATATTTTGTTAAGTGTATAGAAAGATTAACACAATTTGAGTGAATTCTAAATAAATCATGAATGAAAGTCACAAGAATGTATCCAAGTTCTAGCTTACTTTTAAAACATTCTCAGGAGGAAAAAAAATGTTCAGTAACTGACAGGTGATTTACACAGTTAGGAAAAACTATAAACACTAGTAACAGGGAAAAAAATCGATCCACTGGGCAGGCTGCTGCAGAAGATTCAACCCAGTAACCTCTGTTTTATCATACTGAGAACCTGTATTGTGCAGAATGAAGATTAAAAGCAGAGACAGAAATTCAAATGCACACTGCAGAACAAGGATTTACCAAGCTACACAAAGATCAAAGGTTGATCTATTTGGACTTTTAACAAATACGTAATACTTTCAAACTATACATAATGTCTGATGGTACTTCAAAGCACACAGACAACTTTCCATATCAAGAAAGCAAAAAGAAAAAAAAGTGAACCTCAGTACATTTGAGTCCACCAGAACAATAAAATCCAGAGTCCTGGATAAACAAACAGGCATCTATTAAAACATTTTACTTCTGAAGAGTTCCTACAGCCTACACATCATACTTCCAAGCTCCCTACAACTTCAAATACACAGAAACTCAAAAATAAATAAAAAATAAAACCTATAAATACTATGTGCAACAGAAAGAGAGCTGGAGAAAGAGACTGCACCCAAAGCCTTTAATTCTTATAAAAACAATGAAATTGTGAGCCAAAATGTCCAAAACATTAGACAGTTCCTGCCAATCTGGCTGGGACAGATTCAAAGCAACAAATCCAGTAACATTTTAAACCTTGACTACTTACCATGGTATATCAGAATGTCATAAGCAGTAAATCCCAATCTACACTTGCAGCACTCCAGACAAAAGACAACCTCTATTCTCAACCTCTATATTCTCATATAAACTGAGGGGAAAACAACTTTTTCCCTGCCCCTGAGAACAACTGGGGGGGCATATCAAAATAATTCAGTATAAATACAGGAGAAACATGCATAGTCTATAGGTAGCAATAATTTCTCCTATCCGCATGTCTTGGAAATAAATCATCCAGTAAAATGGATGCAAATTGGACTTTACTTGGAAGCCTACCCTTTATCTATTTTTGAGCTCAATTTAGTTCTATTTCTCACTGTCCTTGATAACCATTCTCATTAGAAACTTTCTTCAAATTTCCTCATGTGCCATATAAAGCTAAATTAGGGTTCACAAAATTAATTGACACTGATACAACAGAAGAAATACAATCACACAATCACCCATCCTTGAAAACAGAGTGTATGCAGATCTAAATATTTAAATACAGAAACTTGTCTGCTAGTTTACAGAACTTTATCCACAACCTTTCCTCGTCACAAATTCAGTATCATTAGGTCCTTTTGCAATTCTTTGCAGAATCCATTAATGTATTATATGAGTTTTAATTAAAATTCTGCCTGTGAAAAGATTCAGGATCCACACCTTCACAAGAAAACTTTACTGAAGCGTATAATGAAACTTTCCACTTTCTAAGCTTCAAATGGGCAGCAGAAACTACTGAGTCTTCAATGCATATTCTAGGTTAGAGAAGAACATAAGCTAAATATAGAATAATTTGTCCATAGCAAAGAAAATATTTTGCCAACAGTCCCTAGATGTAAATAGCTGTTCTTAATATAGAGCACTAATTCTTAAGCTCTTGCACTAATTTCATTTGTGCTTTGATCTGTCAGGCAAATTGGTGTTTTTAGTGACCAACTGCTGCTGAGTTTCTAAGTGAATAGATGTGCTTTTGCTGACTTCCCTTGCTGTGTGTAGTTGTCCACAACCTCCCTGCAAATTTTCACCCTCCTTAGCAGGGTCTCTAGTCCTGCCTTGTTTGCCTGACAGAGTCACATGAGAACACTACTGGGATCTAAAGGGGCAGATGGGCTCGACACCAGGCCAGATTTTCTATTGTACTAATCCAATCATCCCAAATCCAGTCCCAAAAATGCATATGCAAGTGATGTAGGCACCTAGTGCAGGTGGACTTGAAATCAAATTTAGGTTTTGTCAAAGTAGAGCACAAGCAGCAGCACAGTGTTTTAATGTGACATTATGGTATATTTATGTAAAAAGTTGGAGTATCCCCACATGAAAATATATTAGAAATGCACATAGGCAGAATCCTTTGCGTATATGGAAGGAAAATGTTTTTAAAACATTCTTCAAACACCAGAGGCATACAAATCCAACACAAAGGTAGCATGCACTCATGACTTTAGTTAGAGCAGCAGCAGGTGTCACTTCCCTCTTCGGTAGGTCTAGTCTTCATTTGCCAGGTATCACTTTACCAAAATCAAAGGATAAAGAAACTTTGCAAAGCAACATTACAGAGACAATAAGCCCAAATATACCTACTTCTCTTTCACATTATCTTATTCTTGCTCTCAAATACCATATAGTCCTGCTGAGTACTTAATACAGATGTAAAACAAATGCATGCTATCCTTTCCATCCAAAAATTAGAGCACAAAAAGAAAACTTCAATACTCTAATTTCTAAAACTCCAACAAGTTCCATGACTATTTTTAACAAAAATTTGTATTTTAAACAAAGAAATGAGTTTTTCATTACCTCTCTAAGATGCATGTTTTCCTTCTCCTTCTGATCTAAAATCACTTCTAAATGATTAACCTGAGATTCAGCCTCTGCCATCCTTCGAGTTCTCTCATTGTCATCTTCCATTCCCTTAGAAGGCAAACCTTTACTTTGCAACATCTCTAGAAGCTTTTTTATTGATTCATCTCTGGCATTTAGTGTTTGCTTTTGTGTTTCAATCCTAAGTTCCATTTCTTCTAGAGTTTTTCTCAACAGGAAGAGCTCTTTAGCTTGTCTATCATGTTCTGCCTGAAGTCTTCGAAAATTCTCCTCTGTGAGCTCAATGGTGAAATGCTCAGCTCCTCGGTTCCCACTTTCCTGCTGGAGAAGATGGTTAAGGTCTCTCTGGGTTCTAAGCTCATCTTGAAGTGCCTGGATTGTCATTTGCAGATGCTGCAATAAAGAAGATGAAAGAGAAAAAATTAGCTTAGGATCTGAATGTAGAATTAGTATTTGATTAGTTTTGTTGTATGCTGTTACAAAACGTCTTTAGAATTAGTAATGAAAGTATACCAAATGACCTTATAAAATATCAAATGCAGGTGACAATATTTTTAATGATAACTTTCAAGTGCTTCTAGAAAGAAAAAAGAAGACAACATACACAGACACAAAATAATGTCAGCTACAGATAAAATTAATAGCAACAAATGCAAACACTAGGTAGTGACACATCCATTAGAACCTACAAAGCTCAAAGACTCAGTATTCCATGTTTTCTAAATTACCTCATAAAGATAAATCTACTCTTCATGGTGATCAACAGTACTGCTGTTTATAAAGTCAATCAAAGCCCTCACTACAATTTAAGGGACTTTAGGGAGGGACTGAGTTTGGGCCGGTTGGTTTCATTTTTTCATTTTGGAAGCTAAAGCAATGAAAAGTTTAGTAAACAGGATTACTGTATCTCTAAAAAGCAAACAAACAAAAAAAATCACAATAAGCAATACTAAATTTTGAAAAATAAATATACTGCAAGTAGTGGACAAACCTTTGTTCTTCTGGCATCCAAAAACTGAACAGCATGGTAAATGAAAAAATGAAGCAAAATCAACATAAATAAAGGTCAGATGCAAGCAAAGGAGATTCAACAGAAAAAACTGAATTCAACAAAATGTATCTTCAACAGAAAAAAATAATTTTATTGACTTATACAGAAAGGCAACAACAAATTCACAGTACTCAAATATATAAACTTATAGACAGACTTCACTCAATAGAGGTGACAAAGAAAAACATATTTGAAATAATTAGTCCCATAATAAATTACAACATTCCTATTGGACATTGCTGTTCTTTTACACTTTTATGTTTTTCAGAACACTGTAACTTGTCCTAAAATATTTATACTACATCTGAGTACAGGGATCTGTCTCTGTTCCAGAGGTATGCCTTGCACTCCTTACTCAACACAGATCAAAACCAAAATGGATTTAACTCATGTTAAGGTTGGAGTAGAGATAATTAGCCTAAATTGCTATGGCTTATGATGTTCATTTCAGAATATATCCTCATCTGATAATTTGTTTTTCTTATTTTTTCCCCTCTACTCATTACCTACACAGCACACTGAGCTTTTAGAAATATGAATTCCTGAACAGGCTCACAGTCTGTACTAAAAGACGTTTAACTGAAGGAATTAGGGGACTTTAATGCATGTCATCAGACCTTTTATGTTTAATTAATGTTCTGCAACTCCCCATTCTAAAAACAACAGAAACACACCAAATAAAACCCAAAACAGCAACAACACAGACACACCAAAATAACAACAAAACTTCATTTCTTTTGATACTACCTTCATGTTTTACACAAGTACACGTAAATCTGTTGAGTTTTAGCAATGATTTAAGCTAAATGAAAAATTCTAAATCTTAAGAAACCAACCTTTTGAAATCATGTCTTTTATCAGTTATTTCAAATGGAAAATAAGTATTGCCAGTGGTAGAATTCAGCAAGACACTTTGAATCTGTTCTACTATTAAATAAACACTACTGTAATGTATGTCCAGATCTTAATTCTCTTAGTATCAGCATCTTACTAGGCACACACTCAGCTGAGAGTATACACATGTAGGCCACTCCTTTACAGCCCTGCTTTTATTTAATGGCAACTGTTATCTTTTCTTAATCTCACCATATTTTTAATTAGCTATAATAAGCTTAAAAACTCCAATAATTTAAAATCCTTTAGATTTAGAAACTTCCCCACTTTGAATCTACTGATGTGCCAACTGTTTGTGACCCCAAGACTGACTACATCTTCTGGATTCCAGAATTATTTCACTGTCCTACTTCTCACACCTGACCAAGAACCTTCTCTGTACTCCTATGCTACAACTAAGCAACAATATTCAGTAACTACCAGAAATAATCAAAATTATTTCCCGATCTGAATAATGATTTAAGATACATCCTCCTAATGTTAAATCAGACAATATTTACTACTTCACACTACAACCTATTTACAAGTGAATGTCTTTCCAAAGTCAATTAGTCCTTATATATCAAATGTCAATATGTCTATAAAAATCTAGCTGAGCAAAAGAAAACTGATTCTAAAATGCCATGTTCTAACCCACAAATGAAAGTAAACTTGACATAGATATTGCTAACACACAAACCTTCTGAATGTAAGCTCTAAAAACCAAAAATTGCTGAATCAACACAAAAATAATTAGAAATCAGAACTCAAACAACAATTCTGGTTAAGATAAATGAGACAAGCTCCTTTTCTGCCCCCAGCAGCCCATGCTCCACCCAAACCCACATTTGTCTCTAAGCATGACAGTAGTTCTGGCTGCTTCTCTGTAATTATCTTCAAACTTACAGCCTCAACTGTGGCAGACTACTGCTACTTTGACATAAAAGAATCCATTTTTGTACACCTTCAAGACTTAGAACATGGTGGACCAGATTTAGACTTCTGGCACAGATTTTTGTATCTGCAGCTTGCTAAGGAAAGAACAAATGTTATGAGGGTGGAAAGAAATTGTATAATTAACTGCAGGGGATGGAATGTAGGAGTGCTGTGAATATCTGTCACATGGTTTTCATTAGAGACAGAACTTTACAGGATTTTTTTAAAAACCCATGTAAGATCTATCACATTTTTTATAACTTCTATTCAAACTGGACCAGTTAACCAGAAATATTTCCATGCCAATTTCTTGACAATATATAAACAGTTCTCTCAGAACTTTTTCAATTCTTCTCCACAGCCCAGCTCCAAGAAGCAATCCACGGAACTGTGAATTGACCCACAAACTGAAACAAAACTATAAAAGGAAGATTAACTAATGGCTCTTCCCAGACTTCAATTCATGTTCTACACCAGTTTCTCCAGTCTATGCCAACTAACTACACCCAGAAGAATTGTCTGCTGAGAATTCTCCTGCCACAGTGTGCTTCGGGTCACATAAACACTTCCAGAGCATTCCAAAGCCACAGAATGGTGAACAGCAGAGGGGAATGAATTAACAAGGAGACTTGCCGATTTCAAATTGCTGGTCCACCTACAGAAGAACACATCTCCTCATGCTTTGCACCATCACACTGCCACCAAAAGCAAAGAACACATTCAAGAACGCAGTCCACTGGATTTTAGCTCCTGATTCTCCTGTTTCCTTCCCACTCCAGTAAATAAGAGAATTAGCATGGCTGAATCAGCTGAAATACTCTAGTCTCTTGGCAGTGGCAAATATGAAATGAAGACTGTGCAAAAAAATCATCCTGTGTAACTGTATGCTATAGAAAGCTACAGCTATCCCTGAAGAATACACCTTGACAAATATAACAGCAAATTATTCTGTCAACAGTACTCTCATTCTCTAAAATCAAGCTTCTTTATTTATTCCATAATCTATTACTGTTATATTTTAATTCTTCACAGTATGAGGCTCTATCATCAAAAGAAACAGACTACTTAAAGCTTTCTTATGAACTGCATCTAAATCAATTTATGTTAAATTTAGTTGTGCTACTGAAATAAGTACGAACATTACATTTGCAAATATTTGTAACTAAGTATTGTTAAAGAAAAACAAATCCTAATTTTCTTCTTTAAAGAAAAAAAGGGAATTGGAGACATTTTCTTCATTACCATAAATTAAGAAATTAATTCTCTCATGCATTTCCTCATCTGCCTATTACAATTCATAAATCTGGTATCCAAAAAACCCCACTGAAAATCAGTTGACTAGAATTTTGCCTGAGTAATACAGGACTGACAGAAAGAGTTGGAAGGAGAAGTGAGATCTAATTTGGGAGGAATAGCAAGAGATTCTGACCACACACGATGAATCTTCAGCATTGAAAATTCTGAGCGTGAGATGTGAGAGAGCTTTTGCATAACACTGTTTGCTGATATAACCATGTCTTTGAAAAGAGAGAATTCTTGTCTGACTTTCCTTACTTTTTCTTTCCTTATACCTTTAAGTTTGGTGTCTTGTCAAATTCTATAAAGCTTGCCCTTACGACCATGCTTTGCAAGTTTAATAAGGAATCTTGTCACGTACACTTAATTAAGTCTACATTTCTTAACACAGATGTGGTGGGCTGAGCTTGGCTGGAGGCCAGGACTCCACCAAGCCACCCTACCACTCCCCTCCTCAGCAGGACTGGGGTGGGAGGGGAATAAGATGAAATGAACCTCATGGGTCAAGGTAAAGGCAGTTCAATAAAACAAAAGCAAAGGCTGTGCACAGAAGCAAAGCAAAACACAAGATTCACTCTTGATGTCCCATGAGCAGCCCATACCCAGGCACTTCCTGGCCAGTAGGGCTTCAGTAAAGTTGCTCCAGGAGACGAACACTAATAAAGAACACCCCCTCCATCAGCTTCTTGTTCAAACCTTTCCTCATCCATCACTAATCAAGTGCCCACCAAACTGCTCTATCACTCCCCTAAGCTTGCCCCTAATCCTGGACTTTGCAAGTTAAATAAGGAATCTGATCATATACATCGAAAACTTTTTTTTTTCCCATGGAATAGAGCTCAGTTCCCTATGACAAATGCAGATCTTAATGCACATGCAATCCTGCTTCTAAATTAAATATTCTCATTATGTGCATTTTGTTTTCATTTCATGGCCCACTCTGATCATCAGTAAATCTAATTTCTCCTCTGGCCCCAAACCAGCATAGGAATGCTGATCCTATGGCATTCCACTACTGTTTAAAAAAAAACCAAATAATTATGTAGTCCCTAGAGTTTTCCGAGAGCAAAAAATGCCCTCCAATAAATCAGTAATCTATTCTGGAATCTGATAGGGCAGTGCTGACATATTTAGTCTGAAGTATCAGACTTCACTACTATTCAGTCAGCTTCTCCATGTCATCTCACATAAGTATTTTGGCAAAAAAAAAAGTATTGCCTAAAGACTTGAGGTCACTGAACAAAAATGCATCCCCATACAGGCTAAAAGCTTTAAAAATCAAATTCAGAGCAGTTTTCCACCTATTTTTTAAGGAACAACCTGTAAATATATTTATTTCCTAATTCTCTTTTTGCTGTGGGCTGAGAGATGTTGATGAGCCAAATCTTGTAGCCTGCAATCACAAGAACCAGAAGGTCAAGAGGAAAGTACTTTTAGAAATGTAACAAGTCAAACAGATTTGAGAGGAATAATCTGCAAAGATTCATGTTGGGAAAAAAAACCCACAAATTTCTTTTGTTATTAAAAAAGGAGGTTTACTAAAACCTTTGTCACCACTATCATAGCAAAATGCAGGGGTTTGTATTTAGGTGATCCTTACCATGGCAACTTTTAAGCAGCCCAGTTATGCTGCTATGACAACACTGGCCTCCTTTTTTTCACCTCTTCCCTTTGGAGAAATATTGTTAGCAATTCCACAGTCACTAAATAGTAAATTAGTTGATGGAAAAATCATCAGTAACAAATATTTTGACCAATATGAACACATGTGGAAGAATCTGTTTTTAGATTACTTCTTAGAACTTACAGGAAGTAAACATAAAATGCTTTTTACCGAGGCCTGGAAATCAATGTCAGCT